ATGCAATATTTTGCTTCTGCACAAACATTAGCAAAAAGCTTTAAGATGTCTAAATCCAGCACTGGCAAAGGTGAGAGGAAATGGGCTTTCTCGCACGCAGTTGGTGGGAGTGGAACTTTCCGGATGGAAATTTGGCACTTGCCCCAACAAATTGGAATTTCAAGTCTTCTGTCTGCCTGGTGGAGCCCTCGCGTCAGAGATCCGTGGGGTTGGAGGAGCCGCGCTATCTTCCCAGGTCCGAGGGCAGAAGGAGGGCATTTGCAGAGCGGATCACAGGGGAGACCTCCACCTATTGCCCCCAGAGGGCAGGGCTCTGCGCTGTTCTGTTGGATGAAGGGGGCACTGCCCTCAGAGTTCTTCAGGAACCCCTCACAGATGGCTCTGGAAATTGGAGGGACGGAAGGGTCCCCCTTGATTTAAAATGTACCTGGGACTTCATTTCTAGGTATGACTGAGCGAAGACAGGGAGAGGTCCATGCCATTGAAAGAAATCTATTACTCAAAGTTCCGCAGAAACCAGGGCACATGGAACCCTGCAGGGCCAGGCGAAGCCTCAACGCACCCAGGAGATGGGGAGAGACACAGGGCCAGAGAGGAGCTGGGACCGTGCCGTCACTGCTGCTGTGGTGGGGAGCAGCCAGGTGGAGGCGTTTGTGACCCGGCAGGAAGTGAAACGCACATGTTAGGGTCTGTGGATGAAGGGTTTGCAAGGCGATTTTCGCTTGTCCGCAAGAGCCAGACCCCAGGGGAGATGGAAACAGCTTTGGCTGGTAGTTTGGCCTTGCGATCAACGGATGCCAGATCGTCCATAACTAAATGTGTAAGAATAGGTTAGAACACCCCTTTCGTCACAAGCTTGGGCTCCACACTCTGGGCCAAGCGTAGCAGCCCAAGAGGACGGAATGCTCTCTTGTGGGAACTGGGGGGCCCGTCCTCATTCTGCAGATGGGCAGATGGAGATCCAGACTTACAGAGGAGGGGCGGTCACATCTCCGCAGAGACTATCCTGGGGCAGGACTGGAGCCAGACGTCTGGGCCTGTGTTACGGGCCCCCGTTTCACACCCACTTCCCAACACTGGACCTCATCCTGCTTCTGTACAGTGGCTGCTGCCCGGAGGGGCGGGCTGAGTCTGCGCTACTCCTGAACTGCGGACGTTCTCCAGCTGGAGGGGGCCTCCCCAGGCTCCCCATTCTTCCCCACACTACCCAGACTCCTATCTGGGTACAGTTGGGGGAAGCTGCCCCCTCTCCAGCCACTGGCCCAGTCCATCCCCTCGAGGGCTCTGGAATTCTTTCCAGGGAAGCCTGACTCCTTGATGTAGGTCCTGTATCTGAAACTCTCTGCCTCCATCTCCGTCTGCCTCGGGGCTGGTCCGCGGCATCAGTGAGAACGGGGTCCCTCCTTTCCCCAGGACCCTCACCTCAGCTCTCACTTTTCCAGACCCAAGGATCCTGGGGGCAGGTCCTGAGGAGGAAGACTGCTTGTGGATCCTCCCTGTGTGGCTTCGGGGACCCCTCCCCCTCCTCTACCCACAGAGTTTGCAAGCACAGGTCTGGGTGATAACGGGAGGTTGGCACCAGGATGAACTGGCTGCCACAGCGAGCAGCCCCCACCCAGGGATGCTGCCATGCAGAATGCGCCAGCTGTTCCCAGCATCCCCATGATAGTTCCCCAAGCCACCGCCTTCTTCCCATACCCATACCAGTGCCCTTGGGTCTCAGCCCCAGAGAGAACCTGAGCCTAGAGCCTGCCCTTAATCCCAGGCTGGAGCCAAAGCACCCAGGACCCGGACCCCTGAACCCTTCTGCAGGAGATGCACTGGGCCACCCGGCAGCGGCCAGCCCAGAGACCCCGATACCATAGGGAAGCCTGGAGCCCACAGCCCGGTGCTGGGAGCCTGGAATGAGGAAGGGGGAGACCAGAATGGAGAGCCTGGCTAAAACCCCTGCTCCACAGCCCAGAGTGGCACCGGGGACAAAGGCCAGCCGAGTGAGCTCAGCCCTGAGTACCCAGAGGCCATCCTTCAAATCTATCGTGTTCCCTTCACAGCAGTAATGGTTTTTAATAAAACGTCTGTCTGTCTGTCTTCCTTATATGGTTAGGGCACTTAGGGTTGCACCGGCCCCAGGTGGTAGCAGCCCTGGGGGGATATTTCTGGAATGAAGGAACCGGAGTTGCTGGTGTAGTTCCGTGTGCTGCCACCAGAGGGCAGGGCTGACCCACACGGTTCCCCTGGGACATCAGTGGGCACCCACGCCTTTCCCTCGGGTGGGACCCTTTCTCCTGAGAATCCGCGCTCTCCCGCCTGGGGGTGACGGGTGAGGGTGCTCTCAGCTCTGGAGCCGAGCCGCCCCTGGGGGCTGTGGTGGTCTCACTGCTCACGCCAGGTCCGTGTTTTCACTCTGGTCCTCCATCTGTGCCACCACCTCCAAGTTCAGAGCCTCTTTCTCCTCCTTCCCGCCTCAGGCTGGGGCAAGTGGCTGCTCTGTGCAGGGTTTGAGGACGCCTGGGCCACTCAGCTGTCTATCCAGGCCTCCTGTTTTCAGCCTCGCTCCTCATCCCCACCCACTGGGGTCCCTGGGTCCCCCAACCCTGAGTCCCCCCCTTTCACGGTTACTCCTGCAGGAACTCAAGCTTCTGTCTGTTTTGCTCTGCTTGGGCCCCTTCCATTAGCACATCCATGTTTCCTGGGACATGGGTGGACAACCCTCGGCTGCTCTCAACTGTTTTCATGTTCCCTAACCCTGTGGGTTTTTAAATTTCATTTATTTACTTATTTTTTCATTTATTTACTTATTTATCATCAAAGGTAAGGTGCCCTGATTCTGAACTCTTAAAAGTAAATGCTGCCCTACTTTTTTCTTCCTTTTTTTTTGGTGAGGAAGATTGGCCCTGAGCGAACTTCTATTGCCAATCTTCCTCTGTTTGTTTTTTCCTCTCCAAAGCCCCAGTACATAGTTATATATCCCAGTTGTAAGTCCTTCTATTTCCTCGATGTGGGATGCTGCCACAGCATGGCTTGATGAGCATGTGTAGGTCCACGCCCAGGATCTAAGCCTGTGAACCCCAAGCCACCGAAGTGGTGGGTGTGACCTTAACCACTAGGCCACCAGGCTGGCTCCTACCATTTTTTTTTTTTTTTTACTCTTGTAAATTTCAGACTCAACAGATGGACAATTCCAGTAAAAAAGAAAAAGAAAGGAAAAAAAAAAAAAAAAGGAAAGGAAATTAATAGGGCTCTTCAACAGTCCCCTAAAACCACCACCCTCCCAACAGCAAATCTGATATCCCCAGGTTGTTCCAAGAAAGGGAGATGGGGGTGGGGGGGGCGGGGGGGGGGGAAGAGCTGATACAGAGTAAGACCAAATTGCATGACTTGCTGGAAAAGAAGATAGAAAAACCAGCGGCCTCAGTAGGAACCTAGGGTCCCTCCCCAGCCTCCCTCGCTCCCTCCCTCCCCCTCTCAACCCAGCGCCTCTGGTGCTTGTTGTCGAATTTCAACCAGCTAGGAGTTTTGAGCCCAAAACCATTTTGACAGCAGGAAAAACTACCTGTTGCCCTTGAGCACGGCTGCATCGGTAAAGGGGGGGGGGGCCACCCCGTCACTGGGAGAGAGCTCGGAGGAGGAATGGTCAGAAGGACACAGAAATGTAAGACTCCTGCCACCCGGTGCCTTGTCCTAAAGTGGAAGCTCTCCCAGGCCTCAAGGGACATGGACAGAAAAGAGGGTCTCACGTTGCTGGGCCTGGAATGCTGTCCTGGGGGGGCCGGGGGAGGCAGGCTGCTTCTCCCCTCTCAGGTCTACCTCGAACATCACCTCCTCCGAGAGCCCTCTGCCCCCATCCCTCCCGCCCATGGTCGCTGTCATTCTAAGGGAGCGTTTCATTATCTGCCAGTGACCATGATTGCTACCCTGTTTCCCTCCAGAACGGGAGCGCCGCTGCCCGACGGCAGAGGGCCCTGGTGGTCTGGGACAGCCCGCAGACCCCGCATCTCAGCCTGGCCCCACGCGCATGGGATGCAGGGCGAGTCACACCGGCCGAGATGCCGTCTAGGACGCGGTCCTAGGCCTGGGGGGCCGGCCAACCCGGGCGCAGCGGGCTGGGGGAGACCCGGCAGGAGGGGACCCCGCGCCCTCTGAGCCGCAGGGCCCCACTCACTAAGTGGTCTAAGCCACTTTCGCCCACTCGCTAAGCCTTTTAAAAAAATAAATTCCTTGTTGTGGGTTTTCAGGCGGAGTGGGGATAAATATGTGTGTTTAACAGCCACGCCTCCCCCCCCACCCCAGATTGTTCCAGGTGGTCAGTAGGTCTGGGGGTGTCGCATCCTGCATGTTCTGGGGGCAATTATAGTTTTGGCCCTGTTGTTATGGAGAAGCGGAGGATGGAGCAGAGCAAAGATGTTGAAGCTGACGCAGACACTCACGTATGCAGCCAGTGTCCATAACAACGCACATCTGGGGGCCCGTGGAAGGCAGTCAACACCTTTCTCTTCCCGTGCTGAGTTTGCGATCCAGAGACACACACACAGGAGTCAGACATGTGGAAGTGACAATACCAGCTTCATTACGACGAATACTGAATGGGAGGCACCACCTGGAGCTGGGACCACATGGGCTGCCCACGTGTGCCTGCCAGCCAGGGGTCTTCTGTGAGGGAAGGGAGAAGGACCTGAGGACGGGCTGTCCCCTCGGGGAGACTGGCTGGGGTCTGCCTGGAGTACTCAGTGCCATCTGTGAGCTCAGCAGCACTGTGCAGCCAGGTGAGCAAAGGGCGGAGGGCATGGGAAGGCAGTCCATACTTCCTGGAAGTTGTCAAAATCCCTTTCCAGGAAACGTGAGGTGTGGGAGACAAGTGTTGCCCACAGCATAAGATTTTTCCAGATCCCAATTTATTTTCCAGTGAGGAAGGCCACTTTTGTAAATAATCGGATCCCTGGCACCTCATTTTCAGGTAACTGGGCATCATGCATCCCAAATATAGTCAATGGAAACTGATGTATAGCAAACAGTAACACTTTAGTGAAAAAAAGCACAGGGAGCTGTTGCCACAACTCCGTTGAAGAGCTGCATGCCAGTGACCTAAAAGGCATTGGCTGTGTGCACCAGTGGGGTCAGGGCCACGGGGAGTGGTCTTTTCTGAGGAGCGGAAGAGATCTGAAGAGCTCCGTTCTGTTACGGTGACCTCAGCCCCACAGAGGGTGGCCTCGAAGGGGTATGGGGAAGAGGGAACCCCCTGCCTTCCAGTGGGTCTGAAGAGCGGTGACTCCCCTCCATTCCAAGTGACTTGCTCAAGGGGAGACCAGACCCCCGGGGACCCTTTTCTGAAATCTATGAGAAGCTTCAGGAGACCAGACCAGCTGCGCCAATTTCCTTCCACAGAAGCTTTGACCCACAACGACCCATATCAGGATCTCTCGCGATTACTGCTCTAAAGTGTGCCTTCTAAGACTCAAGGCAGATGATTGTGAAATTATGATTCTGTCCTTTATCTGCCTTCTGCAGAACTTCAGACGTCAGGCCTGTCAGCTTTTTCTCACCAGAACAGCCCTTCCACCCACTGGCCGTGGCTGCAGCATCCTTTCCCACCTGCCCCAGGTCTTTGCAGGAAGGCCTGGATGATGTCGGTTCCAAACGGTCTGAGGAGATGAGAAGCAGAAGACGGCACCGTCTGTGAAGATGGAGGGCTGGAGGTGTGGCTCCTACTGGCTCCTGAGAGCCAGTTCTTGACTTTTCAAGGATTTTGTGAGCCGGTTCACATCACATTGGTAGCTTTAGATGGACCAGAGCAGGCTTATTGACACCATAGAAATTGGCAAATGCTATCATTGAGGGCTTTGTGTTCACTCAGAGAGCCGGTTGTTGGCACTCACCGTCACACCACTGCCCCACTGCCCTGCTGGCTTTACCACCTTCGGGGACCACACTCATCCTTACGGAAAGCAGTTTCCCTCCTCCTGAGTGAACCCCAAACCTGCTCCCCCTTCCTCTTGAGCATGCACACATGGCAGTAAGAGCCTACGCAGGTTTCTTCGCAACCATAAAGGCTAGAACCCGTCATCTGGACAGAAAGGATTGTAAGTCAGTCATCCATTAGCATCTGACACTAGCGACCTGCTTCTCCCTCTGGACACAGGCCCCGTGCTCTGGCCTCTGTAGGGGTGGCTTGTGGATTTTTCCCCCAGGCGAGCTCCATTCTGGGTGAGGTCCTCAGGAGTGGCGGCTCCACCATGAATGAACCTTTTGAGATGCCTTTGTCAGCAAATCAGTCTTGCAGCAGATCAAAACCAGACTAGAAGAAAGGAAAATCTGTCCAGGATAGGTTTCTTCCTTACTCTCTGCAAAATTAACATTTCATCTGAGTCTCATTTTCCCCTGAAGAAAACTAGTCCAGCACTGAAGTTCCACACACGTGAAATCTTATTTCTGTCTTCAGTTACAGGATCCTATCGTGTGGCTCACCAGAAAAGCTGTGTGGCCGGCAACCTATGGCTGAGCGTTTCTACCTAAGTCAGTCATCATTCCCACAATTCCCTGCCTTCTGGTGGTGATTCATTTTGCTAACATCTTAAGATCTTGGCACCTACGTTTATGAAAGATACTGGACCGAAACTTTTCCTGTCTCAAAATTTACTTTTTGGGTTTTGCAACAAGGCTATTCTGGTTTCCGAACACAAGTTATCCATTCTCTGGAGTTTATGTAAGATTGCCATTAATATTTTCCTAGATTTACTAATGAGGTCATCTGAGCCTGTAGATTTGTTGGTGGGAAGATTTTAAACTACAGATTCAATTTCTTGTCTCAGTTTCAGTGAGTGTTTTCTAGAAAGTTGCCCGTTTTATCCCGATTTTCAAATGTATTGGTATAGAACGTTTGGAACAGCTTCTTATAGGCTCTGTAATGATGTCTCACTTTTCTCCATTCCTAATGGACTGAGGAGAGGACAGAGATGAACAGGGCAGGCCATGGAGCAGCATGAGCCAAGCCGTGGCACAGAGAATGGACCAAGAGCTGGACCTGATTATTTGGAGGTCTGGGGCATGTGCCCCAAGGCTATAGAGGGTCCCCAGACCAGGTCCTGCTGATACTGGAGGGGTTTACCTGTTGGCAGAAGTAGCTGCCATTTGATTGGATGGTTCCATCAGCCTGGGGTCCTGGAAACAACCTGAGTGACTCTGCAGCTTGAAGCCAGAGCCAGGACAACCATCACCCCTCCTACAGGCTCTGCTGCCCTATCGGGGCCCCATTTCCTGGGCCTGACATCTCCGTGAGGCACGCTTACCCCAGGCCCCACCCCCACGCTTGCCTGAGCCCAGCTCATCGTCAACAGTCACACCCACCCATGTCACCTTCTTATGCCAGCCCTGCTCTGCATGGTCCTGCCCTCACTGGCCTCCAGCTCAACCCCCTGCCACTTTTTCTGATGCCCTCACATCCACCTTGCTCCACCACCCAGCCAGCTGAAGGCAGATGTCACCCTGGGCCACCTGCTCAGCTTGGATCAAGTGGGGACCTATCCAGGCAATAATGGCCAGGACCCTCACAGGCTGGAGCAGAGCTGGCATGGCTGTGCTGCCACAGGACCCAGACATACCCACGGCCTGGTGTCCAATGGGCCCCAGAACTCAGGACAGAGCCCAAGGGGAACATGTTATCGCTTTAGCCTCAAAACTTTAACAAATAGTGCTTCTTTGCCTCCGAATAGAGGTGAGTGTCCTCCTTTGTGAATGACCCACTTATTTTCACTCACCCATCCATGTGAGTGCTATCTTCAATTTTCAGCATTAGGATGACAGGACTGTAGCATCTTTAAACAGTCTCACGTGATCACCGTTTTAGGAAATACTGACGTGGAAGCCTGGCGCTAGGGCGTCAGAGAGGGCGTCCCTCCAGTCAGCCGTGGACTCAACTCAACTCAATTCTCCACAACGAACTGTTTTTGAGAACTAAGCGTGAGCCACGCTCTCTGGTAAGCATCAGGCAACACAGCAGGAAGCAGGACCGGTTCCTGCCTCAGGAGCTTGTAAAAGCAAAGAAATCGTTTCAGTCGGCCGGGTGCTGGGGACAGGTCCCGAGAGGAAGCAGCGCAGATGGCTGAGAGAAAGAACTTGATTTCTCAGTGGCGCTGGGGTGGGGTCTGGGGAGGGTGCACGTCTGTCCCCTGCCAGGGCTCTGATGTCCACCCCCGGCCCCTGCGGCTGCTGCTGAGCCCGGAAAGGGACAACAAGTGGGTCTTGGGGCGGGCCCTTTGGGGCGGGGGAGGCCTCAGGTCCCCGTGCCAGGAGGGCCCCCTTAAGGAGCCTGTCGCAGAAGGCTGGTGGCCATGGATGCTTCTGAAGGAGCTGCAGGCCTGCCTCCCAGGCTGCTGGCTGCACCGCCAGGGCAGTCACCTCACGACCTGGGAGGACCGCCAGAGTGAGGGGCCGGATTTGCCAGTGCCACCAGCTCTGCGTCTCCTCCAGCTTGGGCACCTGGTGAAGAGGAACAAGTTGGGCTCCGCGACGGGCTTCCTGGTGCTGGCTAGAAGGGGTGCTGTTCTCCAGCCAGCACTCCTGGTCCTCTGCGCAGTGGCAGTCCTGGGGAGGCACTGAGGTCCACGGGGCAGAGAGGCAGCTGTCCCTGTCCCACAGCCGGTGCCACGAGGGCTCGCAGAAAGTGGTCTGAGTGTTGGATGCCTCTTCGGGCCGGGCCCCATGTCCCTCCCACCCCCTTTCCTCTCCACCCTCTTCCACGATGCTCTGACCCTCAGGGCCGAGCCAGTCCACCCCCCAATCTTGTCCCCTGTTCTTATCTGGGTCCCTATCCCTCTGCCCTGTCCCTATTCCATCCACCATCTCCTTATTCCTGCCCCTCGTCTGTCCTGCTGTACCTCTGTCTGGGTTCCTCGGGCCCCTCCCTATATCCCTGTCTGTCTCTCTGACTTCCTCTCTTGCTGTCTGCCCCCGCCCCTCCTCTCTCTCCTCCTCCTCTCCCCAAACCCCAACAAGAGGCGACGGCAACCTTGGAGTAGGCTCTGCAGGCCGTCCTGGGGTTTGGCGGCCTGGATGGGACTGGCAGTGGGGGCGGGTGCGCAGGGGAGCAGCAGCAGCAGGGGCGGCAGGACCAGCGGGCGCCACATGGCTGGGAGGGCTGGGCAGCTGGGAGGGGGCGAGGGGTGCGGTCAGAGGCCGTGCCCTTTGTCCAGGCCCCGCCCCTTCCCCAGGCCCCGCCTCCCATCCCGCCCAACCCCTCTATATCCCTCTTCTGTCCCCTCTCCCCGGTGTGCCAGGCCCACCTCCCCCGAGACCCCGCACCGCACGCCCAGGCGCCAGTCACTCTTCACTTGCCTGCAGCCCTGCTGTGTCTTCCGGGCGCCTGCGTGTCTGCCCGCGGCCCGGTCACCGGCATCGGCTCCCCAAGGACTGTTAGATCCAGAGAGCGCTCACCTGAGCGCCCGGGAATGCCTCCTTGAGCCCGAGCCACGCCCCCTGATGACCACGCCTCCAGCCCGAGCCACGCCCCTCCACTGCTATGCCCTAAGCTTCACACAAAGGCCACGCCCCATGACATAGCCACGCCCCATCCTCTGTGAGGCCCCGTCAATCCTATACACAAAGGCCACGCCCCCATGGCATAGCCATGCCCCATCTGCTACACCCCACCCACTGGCCACGCCCCACGACCTAGTCACGCCCACATTCTTTAACCACTCCCCTGGAGTCGAGGCAAGTCCCCACGCACTGGCCTCCTCCCTATCGCGGTGGCCACGGCCCCAAGTCAGGGCGTCGCCTCTATTTGTTGAGCAAGGCCCTGCAGACCCACCCACCCCTTGCCCCTCTTCCCTGACTCGAGTCCCGCCCTTGTCGCAGCAGGCCACGCCCCCCGAATTAAGTCACCCAGTGCTGTCAGCCCAGAACTCCTCCTTCGGGGCAGTCCTGGGTCCCTCACTCACGTCTCTAAATTCTCCATTCTTCTTGAACATATGGAGTACATTTATAATGGCTGTTTTAACGTCCTTACCTACTGATTCCGTCACCTGTGTCATTTCTGGGTCCTTGTATTGACTGACTTTTCTCATCATGGGTTGTAGCTTTTGGCTTCTTTGCATGCCTAGTAATGTTTTAGTGAAAGCTTGACATTGTGAATTTTATGCTGTCAGGAGCTCACAAGTCAGCAATTCAGTGGTAGTTCACCAATTTGACAGGAACTACATAAATTTGGTTTCTTTAACGCGAAAGATTTTTTTTGTCATGATTACCAAGGTGGCAATTGGAGGGAATTATACTTTATTTCTGTGTGGCTTTCACATAATTTAATTTGGGGACTATGCTAACCATGCTGTGACACTGGTCATGATTTCCCCTCTTTGAAGAGTTTAGTTGGCAGGACAACATACGTGGGCATAATTTGGGATGGAACAAGGAACAGGGAGGGAAGTTTTTGTTCTCAGGTATAGGTGGTCTTGCATTAACGTCTTTTGAACCATTCAAGAGACTTTAGAGAAAAATCTGGAAACTTAACTGCTAAGCGGAACAGTAGTAAATACGGGAATGGGGGGCACCTCATGATGAAGGGCTGGTAGGAAAGGGGGCCTGGCCTTGCTTGACCATCCGCCTCGTGGCTGAGCCCTAAGCTTAGCCAGCCCTCCCCCTCTCCAGGCCCCCAGGCCGAGTGCTTTTATCCTTTGTGGTGCAAAGTCTCACTTAACCCTTTCTTTCACTGACTCACATTTATGCTGTTAACTGTGTATCTTACATTTGCTGAAAGGATTACCCAAAAACCTCTTACATATAATTTTTCATCAAATCAAACTCACCGTTATATTTATTTACCTCCAAGAAAGGTCATCTCTATGATAGGGTAATGGTTAAGATGCACCCTGAATTCAGAAATGTGAGAGACAATTTGTCTGAGAAAACATGAGAGGCTCACACACATTGGTTCTTTATTGAAGAGGCAGTTCAGATCCATCTACATATGCAAGAAGGTAGGATGACAAACTACGTATGTAATGGCCCTGTCACCTTTCCAAATATTTTACTTAAAATATACATTATATTAAGCTTTAAGGTCACAGTGTAGGAAATCATAGTAGTTGCCATTAAAAACTACCATAAGGAGTATTTCCTGCACAGAATTATGCAAAATCTACCATTTATTTCCTGTTGTGCAGCATATTCATATCTATCTAGAAAAATATGGCAAGAGTGCTGAGCAACAAAAATGGTCGACACATGATTTTTAAAAAAATTTTATGAAAGTATAATATACATGCAGAAAAATACACATATCTTAAGTGCATAGAACACTCAGATATCCAGCACCCACACTGAGACAGAGTACCACCAACACCAGATACCACCCCTGCAGCCTTGGCCAAGCCTAACCACGGCCCCAAATTCTACCTGCACAAATTTTGCCTTTCTACTTCACATGAATGGAATCATCCAGGATGTTTGCTTTTGTGTCTGGATTCGTTCATTCAGCATCGTTTGGGAAAGTGAACCAGGTTACTGCATGTACTTAGAATTTGCTTGTTCTCATTGTTTTCCAGTATTCTCTGGAGGAAACATACCACATAAGTTCATTCTACTGCACAGATGCCTTCAGAAAGTTCTCGGCTTTTTGCAGTTTTATGCCATGAACATTCTAGTACATGTCCTTTGGTGGACATACACATGCACGGTGGACATGCATGTGCATTCCTGCCAGGTTTGGGTTAAAGGGGTATACATACATTCAGCTGTACGTCCTAGCTTTCCAAAATTGTCCTATCAATTGGCAATACCACCAGCAGCATGGGAGAGCTCCTGTCGCTTAGATCCTTGCCAAAACTTGATGCTTTCTCATTTTCACCTTTTAGTGGGTGGGTAGTAGTACCACTTGGTGCTTTAAATCTGCATTTTACTGATTACTAATAAAATTAACATACCTTTTCGTGTTTCTTGGCCATCTGGCTGTTCCCTTTTGTGAAGTGGATGTCCAAGTCTTTTGCTCATTATTTTTTTCTTGTTGACTTGTAGGTGTTTTATATTTTAGCTCAGAGGTCAGCAACCATGGCCTGCTGGCCAAATCGACTGCCACGAGTGTTTGCGAATAAAGTTTTATTGGGACATAGTTATGTTCATTCGTTTACATACTGTATATGGCTTTCACACTACAGCAGCAGTCAGGCAGTTGACAGAGAACTTCTAGCTTGTAAAGCCCAAAACAGAATCCGGCCCCTTACAAAACGTTTACCAACCCCTCTTCAACTCCCTGCTGACGCATGTATGAATTGCAAATACCTTCTCCCCCCCTGCGGTTTGCCTATTTGTTTTAATGGTGTCTTTTTGATAAACACAAGTTTTTAAACTTAATATGTCCAAATTAACAAGTTTTACTTTATGGTTTAGTGCTTTTGGGGGTCTTAAAACTTTGCTTACTTTAAGGTTACAATCTCCAAAGCTTTCTTAAAGCTTTCTTATTTTACATTTTCATATTTAAACCTGCAATCCATCTAAACTGATTTTCCTACTAAATTATGAAATTTAATTAACAAGGCTTTTATTGGAAAGAACACTTTCCTTGCCACCACTACACTGCATTATCACCTTATTCTGTCCCATGGCCAATGTGTTTATCTCTGCACCAGGACCGCACCATCATTCCTATGGCTTCATAACAGGTCTTGATATCCTGCTATGTAAGTTCTCTAGCTCCGTCTAGTCTAGAAGAAACCCTTGACTATTAGCAGTCTTCTGAATTTTCACGTTTATAATTAGCTTAATTTTGATTAAAGAACTTGCTAGAACCTTAAGATGGCACTGAATATACGAACTAATTTGGGAGAAGCCGACATCTTTTTAAGATTGTCCTGGAGTCCACAAACAAGACATATCCCTCTGTTTGGTAGTTTTTGGTTTTGGATACAGTTCTTGAAAATATGGTAGTCAGTACTTTTTCCCCTAGGCACTTGAGGATTTTTGATGCTACTGTAAGCGGTATTGCTTTTAGAAATTTCATTTTCTATGTTTGTTCCTGGTATACTGAAAAAAAATTTTGCATAATGATCTTGTACGTAGGGACCTTGTTAAATTTACTAATTCTAATTATCTGTATATTCTTCAGAATTTCCTATGTACAAAATCGTGTCATCGGCAAATAAAAGTTTTACAGGTTCTTCCTAATCCTTATGCCTTTTGATTATTTTTTCTTCCCTGACTTCGCCGGCTAGGCCCTTCTGCACAATACTGAATAAAATTAGTGGTAGCAGATAGCCTTGTCTATTTTCCTGATGCTGGGAGAAAACTTTCAGTATTTCACCATTAGGCGTGCTGTTTGTTGTAGTTTAAGACACGCCTCATCCAATTAACAAAGTTCCTTTCTATCCACAGTTTGTTAGGAACATAAGTGGAGGTGGATTTTGCCACACGAATTTCCTGCATACTAGAGAACTTTTCCCCATGGGATGTGTGGCAGTGATTGAGTTGTGATGATTAAAATACCCTCGCATTCCAGTCGCTCACTGTTTTCTCCATTTCTCCAAAATGGAAACCGTCTCCATTTAGTTCACTCAGGTTTGGTTCCCGTGACCACTAGAAATGAGTTCCCGACAATCAGAACGGAATTATGATTGGATGAGACTTATCAGGTTGTACCCTCTGTGTCACGTGAAGAAATGCTAGACACCCAAACTCTCCCAGCGAGGAATGAGGGGAGAAAGGACACAGAGTTAATCAACCAAAGATGCCTGCCAGAAACCTGTGTTTTTTGTTCCAAAATACTGAGACGAAGGGGCAGTGCACAAAATAATGATACTGTATTCACATCAAATAAAACTATAGATAAAATTTCTGAATTACAGAATAGTGGCACACTGCACATTCAAACCTATGGATTAAAAAACAAGAGTGGTCTCAGAGCTGGGAATACAATACAGCTGTCCTCTTACACGGAAACAGACTTAATTCCAAATTATCTACCTGTAGTTTATGAAAATAGTATGTCTTAAAATCTTTTTTTGCTCAAACGTGGTTGAAAACCTTATAAAAATCACTGGATCCTCTACTGATGAGGCATTCATTAAAAACCCATTTGTAAATGCCCCTAAAGAATAGAAAGTTATGTACTGAACTATTTTGTACCTATCAAACATCTCACCAACAGTATATCCTGCGCTAGTACATTTTGCCATCTTAATACTCAGATATTTAATATTGCCTTTTCACAAATTATTCAAATCCAAACTTACATAGAATTGCATAGAATTAGTTACATTGCATTTTTAAAACATGATAGAAACTGCCATATATGTATTTAATGCTACTGTTCTCATCAACTTCTGATGATTTGAAAATTTCATTGTATACAACGGTTTACTTGGAACTGATAGCTTAGGATCTCTTTCCCATAAACATTTGACTTTATATCAGAAATATGGCTTTTAGTATGACATATTTCCAAGACAACATATTTTTCCATGTTCATCACTTGGACAGATTTCGCCTTGGCATGATTCCCTGATATGTAACTACAATTTGAACCCAAAATAAATATTAAATATTTATAAAGTTTCACTCCTGGAGAAATTACCTAGTGTCCAACGAGTTGTAGGTCTTGCTGAAGGATCTACTTCTTGTTGCGTTCTTAGGGATTCTGCTCTGCGAAAATTCAGATTAAAACGACTCTAATGCCTAAAGGCTTTTCCTCATTCTGAAACATAACTTTCAAACGTCGACATGTGACTCCCTATTGGATTTCCCGTATCCATTACACTCAGAGGGTTTTCTAAAATAAAACCTGACCTCACAGGAGATTTCCCACGTCAAGTACATTCACATTCCCTCTCCTGTGAATTCTCTGATGGCTGTTGAAGGCTGATCTGTGGTGGAATTTCTTCCCACATTCGTTACATTCATAGGGCTTCTCCCCTGAATGGGTCCTATAGTGAACAGTGAGGTATGACTTCTGTGAAAACACTTTTCCACATTCGTTACATTCATAGGGTTTCTCTCCTGAATGGCTTCTGTAATGTACGGTGAGGTTTGACATTCGGGAGAAGACTTTCCCACACTTACTACATTCATAGGGCTTCTCTCCTGAATGAATTCGATGATGTATAGTGAGATAAGACTTCTGAGAGAAGAACTTCCCACATTCGTAACACTCATAGGGTTTCTCTCCTGTGTGTACTCTTTGATGTCTAAACAGGGACGAATTATGGGAGAAGGTTTTCCCACATTCGCTACACCCATAGGGCTTCTCTTCTGAATGACTTCTGTAATGTATAGTGTAGTATGACAACTCGGAGAACAATTTCCCACATATGTTACACTCATAGGATTTCTCCCCTTTTGGAAGTGACTGGTGCCCGTTGAAGGCTGGATTTTCAAGGAAGGTTTTCCCACATTCATTACATTCATAGGGTTTCTCTCCTAAAGTCGTATGATGGTCAGTGAGATGTGAGAACTTTCCACATTCACTACATTCATGGGGTTTCTCATCTGTGTGTACTTTCCGATGTCTAATGAAGGCTGAATTTAAATTGAAGGTTTTCCCACATTCATTGCATTCATAGGGTTTCTCTTCTAAATGACTTCTATAATGTATAGTGAGGTATGACACCCGAGAAAAGAATTTCCCACATTCGCTACATTGATAGGGCTTCTCTCCTGTGTGTGTTCTCTGATGTGTAATGAGGGTAGATTTTCGGTAGTAGGATTTCCCACAGTCGTTACATTTATAGAGTTTCTCTCCTGTGTGTGTTCTCTGATGGTCACTGAGGGCTGACTTGCGGGAGAAGGATTTCCCACACTCGTTACATGGGTAGGGTCTCTCTCCCGAATGATTTCTCTGATGTAGGGTGAGATGTGTTTTTTGGCAGAAGGTTTTCCCACATTCATTACATTCATAGGGTTTCTCTCCTGAATGAGTTCTCAGATGTTGAGTGAGATGTAACTTCTGACAGAAGGTCTTCCCACACTCATTACATTTATAGGGCTTCTCCTCTAAGTGGGATCTCCGATGCACAGTGAGGGTTCCCTTTTGGCTGAAGGATTTCCCACACACATTACATTCGTAAGGTTTCTCTCCTGTGTGAGCTCTCTGATGTATAATGAATTTTGACTTTTTACAGAAAGATTTCCCACACTCACTGCATTCAAAGGGCTTCAACTCCATCTGTGACCTCTGGTATATGTTAAAATTTGACATCTGGATGAAGCCTGGTCCAGAATCATTCCACTCATAGGGCTTCTCTCCCAGGTAAGCTCTCTTATGAGTAATGAAAACAGCTTCATTGCCTAAGGCTTCCATGCATTCGTTATATTCAAAGGGCTTCTTCAAAATATTAATTTTCTGAAGAATATTTTCTTCATTTTGAGAAGAGCTTTTCTCATTTTGAAATTCATAGGGGTTCTCTCCATGGTCCATTTTCCCACATTCACTACACTCATCAGATTTCTTTCTTGCATAACTTCCATCACTAATAATTAATTCTGAAGTAGATTCTAAATTCTTTCCACATGAGACACAATTATGAGACATCATGCCTGAAGGAACAAGGCTTGTTTTGATATTATAAGTTTTATCAAACGCATTCTCTCTCTCTTCAATCAGGGTTTTGCTGTTGATATAAACAGCTTGCTTTGAATGTTCATCTTCATTTTCTTGGATTCTCTCTATGAGGTCATCAACTTTCCAAATTTCTAAAAAAAGGAATAAAATTAAACAAACCTTGTGAATCTCAAGACTGGACCAGCTACAGGATAGGAGTGGTACTTTACTGCCCTATTGTGGGGTTGACTCTGGCTTTAAGGTCAATCTCCACAAATAAAAATAATTACAAGTGTATAGTCATCTTTCCCCTTTGATTTATCACACAAGACAGACAGACAGACACACAGGGGTGGGGGAGGTATGAGGAAGGGATGAGGGTGGAAGAGGGCTCGACAATAGTGGAAAAAGGAAGAGTAAATTCACACTGAACACAAGTACCTTTGTTACTTTACAAATATGTTCAAAACTTTGGTAGAAAAGGGGAAATAAAACCAAAAAATTACAAGCAGAGGACAAAGTCATTGAAAAAATGCTAGATTCAGGCAGAAACGAGACTCAGGGCAAATGGGGTCAGTGGGAAAAGAACAATCCTGACATATATTCAGAGGCGAGATTCAAGCATGGACTGCATTTAGGAGAAAGAGATTACGATTTCACTTCATACCGAGATTACGACGGTGACATCCTCACCAGCCTAGACCCTTGCAAAATCTTTACCCTTCTACTCTGCACATAAATCTAAATAAATATTTGAAAAGCTCAAATTTCCTTGTGTTTAGAGAGAGTCACACAAGCAGGCCTAACTCACAGTCGCCTAGAAGGAGAGGTCCAGGCACGCGAATGTCTGAAGGAAATGTAAGACAGACCAGATGACAAGACCTCTTTCCCCTAAGATGAGCTCTCTGGAGGGTGCTGACAGTCTTATTTAACCCTAACTGAACCTGTTGTTTGCACAACAGAGCACATGGCCAAGAGCACTGGACCCCCAGCTCCAGCACTTCACTGGCTGGGGGACCCTGGGCAAGTCACCTCATCTGAAATGTTCACAGCGGAGCCTAAATCAGAGGGCTGGAGAAGGACTAACTTACTTAGTCCATGTAAACTGCTTAGGATAGTTTGCGACACAAAATCCCTGCTCACTAAGTTTCACTTTTAATTTTCTTTCAATTTGCTAACTTAAATTTCCTAAAACCAGTCATGTTCCTGACATAATACCCTTCCTTAATTCTGAATACAAACAAGAGCTCCCTCTTCCTGGGTCTCACTTGGTGTAAAAGCTTCAGTATGAGATTTCTGATGCTGCCCGTACAAAATTGACTTTTATTTCCACGTATCTTAACAATTTTTGGATCCTCTGAACTACTGTCAGTTGCTCTCATCCACGTTCAATGCAACACTGACAGTTCTGTGCTCAGAAATCTGCAACATCCCTGAGCCCAAATACCAACAGAAAAAAACCAGAAAAGTTATCATTCCCCAATAAGATTTTTCATTATCTGGATTCAAAATATATATTCAAACTAGCTGTGATATTGTGATTTATTGTAAGAAACATATAATTGGTCTTCATCCCTATTTTTGACTCACAGCTCCCAAAACCCTTGGAATTTCCAAAGAGTTGAGAGTGAAAAAGTTGTTGCTTGTTTCTGTTAATGAAGGTCATTTTTGGACCCACCCAAGGGTGGGGACTGGTTGGCAGGAGAACCAGCTCTGTGATCAGAGGATTGGACCTTTCAGCCCCACCCCGATTTCCAGGGAGGGGAGGGGAGTGTGAGGTTGAATTGACTGTCAATGTCCAGTGACTTCCTCAATCATGACAATGCAATGAAGTCTTTATAAAAACCCAGAAGGATGGCTCATCAACCCCTTTTTCAGACAGCTCCACGCTGGGGAACCAGAACACTGCCACGTGCCACCGTGTGGGGCCCCAAGCTCCACTGGGACCTTGTTCAGGACGTCACCCTACATATCTCCTCATCTGACTGCTGATTCCCTTCCTTTAATGGCCTTTGTAATAAATCGGTAATCTAGCGAATAAATAAGTTTTCTTGAGTTCTGTGAGCAGTTCTAGCAAATCAATCAAAACTGGAGAGGGGGTCGTGGGAACCTCTCATTTATAGCCAGCCGGTCAAGTGCAGGTTACAACCTAGACTTGTGATGGGCACCCTGGGCTGGAGGGGTCTTTGGAACCCCCAGTTTGTAGCCAACCGGTCACTCAGAAGCAGAGGAAACAACCTGTGCAGGTAGACAGTGTCAGAATTAAGGTGAATTCCCAAATACATGCTGCATCTGAGAACTGCTTGTTGGTGTGGGGAAGCCACACACACACACACACACACAGCAATGCTGGAACTGGGTCCAGGAACCCTTTGCACTAGCATTGCACTAATCTTCCAAAGCCCTTCTGCTGCAGGAAGCCTCGGCTGTGCTGTGCTTATTCCCAACCACCATCTGTGCTCGTGTTCTTGTTCACTCAATCTGACTGTCACTGTTGGCTATACTCAAAACCTATCTATGTTTCCAGGGGGGCTTTCAAATATTTATCAAATCTCTTGCCAGCTTTTTGAAGTTCTCTTTCCCTTAAAACTTAAAGTAGCTTTAACTCAAAGTTGTCTAACCTGTATCTGAATATAAACATTGCAGGTGAGGGCTGAACTTTAAACTAGATCACGCAGCTATGTTTTCCTTTCCCGACTAAAACCTGCGCTCGTGCAAAGTATGACTTCCCATTTTCTTTGAATCTGCCCAGACAGAAACTAAAGGCATAGCTCCTAATCCGAATCAAATGAGGTGCTTTCAAGTTCTACTCCAATCCCTTCTGTTTTATCTGAATCTGCAGTTCAGAATACATTCTCTCTCAATGAATAAACAACAGAGGTCTTTCATTTACTGAGCTCCTCAGTTAGTCAATAAAAAAATCCACGGAGTGCCTACTATGCGCTACGTATCAAAGCAGGGTAAAAAGAGCCTTCCTCTTTGGAGGATTATAATTCAGATGGAGAAAGACGCTCCACCAACAGAAACATGCCACTGCATGGCAGAGCACTCGGCCACCTCTCACTGCTGTGCTAATGAGCACCAAGGGGAAAGGATGTTACGATGGGCATGGTGGGTGAGCAAGGAAGGAAACTTCAGGGAGGAGCTGAAGTTTTAAGCTCAAATTTAAAGGCTAAAGTTCTAGAGATTCTGTTTCACAAGCGTGTGAATGTAGTTACCAATGAACTGTCCACTTAAAAATGGCTACAATGATAAACTTTATTTTTCACTACAATTAAGGAAGGAAGATATATTATCTGGGCAAGTAAAGTGCACGCAAAAGACAAGGACAATGACAGCCTGAATGGAAGACATTTAGAAATCTGGCATTTAACAAGCCTGGGGAAACAGAGAACATTAATCCTGATAGGCAACATCGCATCACACTCAAGGAGAGGAGAATTTAAATTCCCTTTAAGAAGAACCGTTACAGGCTTATCTTGTCAGTCTAGTGACAGGATCAAGCGGAGGTCTCAGACAAACAGACTGTGCCCTTTCCAATAGGATTCTAAGTAATCCAGGTAGGAGGAAATACTGTTTACACCAATGTGAGAAATGCATGAGAATATGCAGAAAAATTTCAAGGCACTGCACAAAATACAAAAACCCCAGAAAACACTAGTACAATGTAAGAAATAAAGGGAGGTGGAGAAGACGCACAGTCTGTGGTTTGGAGAGTCTGAGAAAGAAGGAAGTGGACTGTGTCACTGACACTGTCACCGATCACGTAAAGAGCCAACTAGACCACAGGTTAAAGGCATCAGATACCAATTTAGAGGAGCAGCATAAACACAAACAAAAAAAGCCTTAATAGCTGAGACTAGATGAACCCTTTTAAGGTACACAAACAAAACTAAACAAGTGGAAAACAGGCCTGAGGAGGGCACTCCCAAGGAAGGCAAAAGAATGAACGGAAATTCACTTAGGAAATACACATCCCCTGAACATCTACTGTGGACCCTTGACAGAGAGGCAGACAAGACACGAATGAGCACTGGGGGAAAGAGGAAGGCCCAACTGTGTCGCCTCACCAGACCCACCCAGGGCGCACCCCAAAGATAGAGACAGGCACTTCAGAACAAGCATGGGGCACGCCAGGAGCGGCAGTGACTGACCTCACCAGCTGAGGCTGAGGGCAAGGTTTGGTACCTGAGTGCACAGATGGGGAAGTGAAACTGGGGCAGAAAATCAGCCTGAGGCATTTCACAGCAAGGAGGGAAAGAAAATGGAAGATAAAAACAAGGAACGTGAAAGCACTGAGTTAATTTTTGAATGCCTGAAAACAAAAGAATTCTGTGGTGACGGAGAGTAGGTAAGTCACGGAGAATGCACGGGACAGAGGAAGGAAGGATCCTTGGTGCTGGTAAGCAGGGACAATCCATCAAATGTAAAACAAAGTAAAATCAGAAAGGGAGTCTGAGCGTCCGTGTGGGAGGGCAACGCCACTGGGTACCGGGAGGTATGATTTAGGGCACCCGAGGAGTGGACAGACCACAGTGACTCCAAAGGCCCAGAGTGGACACATGCACAAGTGTAAAACTCTACTAACTTACCTGCATGACCCCGACACGGGAATTCACCCTCGGCCACCCACGGCTCTTCGCCTTGCTCCAACTTGACGATCACGTTCGGTTTGGTGCTATCGTACCCTGGGAATGAGAAACGGAGGGCCTTGGACCAGCTGCTTGGCATCGGGACCTCCGAGGAGACGGTGCTGCCTCAGAGGCCGTGTGACAAAGTGCCCTATTTTTCAAAATTAGTACCTATCATTGGAGAAGCAAAGACGCGAATGCTCTACTTGGCGACCAAAAGGAATTAAATGGTCTTTTTACTTAATTTCTTCAGACTCGAGGAATAAAATCATTAAATTGGAAGCCTTCACATAGCAGCGGCTCAGAAAGCGAGCTCTCCTCACCCAGGGACACGAGATGGCTGTAGTTCTCCAGCATCACATCCCTGTAGGTCATCTTCTCATCAGGGTCCAGCTGCTGCCACTCCTCCTGCGTGAAGTCCACGGCCACATCCTTGAACGACACTGGCCCCTGTAATGGCACCACGATCGGAACTGGGTGACGTGGAGAAGGCACATGGGGACAAGAGCTTACCGAGCTCGCTGGTAAAGTTAACTACGAACATTGAGAACCTGATTTTATGTTACAGATCACGGAAGGAAAACCACCACATTGGAAACATGACTGCCTTTGGATTCTTTAATGTGTCCCCCCCGCAAAAAACCGCAAAACAAATCCCTCAAACCAAGAAACATCTGAGTTCCAATTTTGCAACTGAACTATCTTGAGGTTTGGGGGCAAAGAGGAGAAAAACACCATTCCTGTTTGCAAAAAGCTTTTGTCGTGATAAAGGAGACACCATGTAAATAAACACGCATTTCAGTCCTCGCCATTCCTTCAGCTGCCTTTGTGGGCTGGGGTCGGGCCTCCTCTTCCCGACCTCTCCACGCTGGTGCCTCCAGACTCAGGTCCTGGTCTCCCCCTCTGCACTCTCACTGCTCTGCTGCCCTTGGCCTCATTCAGCTCTTTGATTTTTTGACTCTTTAGTCTCACAGCCGCTATCTCTAGCGACCTGCGTGACTAAGCTTCTACTTCCTTCAAGTTTTATCTTGAATATCTTCTCTTGAACATCTCTTTCTGGCAGCAATTAATATTCGTTGCTTGAATGAATGCCCAAGGTGTCAGAGTGCTGTCCACCAGGTGGAGTGGTATAACCAAAGAGAAGCAAATTATTTTAATTTTACCTTGCCAGATTAAGCTTCACGAGGTGTTAAAGTGCCAACGGCAAAAACCGAACTAGCATTAATACTTAAGAGGCTGGCAGAGAAGAAGAGGGCAGAGAGACCAAGAAAGGACTTTCTGAGGGGCAGCTTTTTGACAGCAGGACTTGACTATAATCCAACAGAGCAGTTGAACTTACACGATTACTTTCCTGCCTCACAAACAAAACTCCCAAAAAGTCCAATTCAAAGAAATTAAAAAATAGAGCACTGGAACCCAGGGGTTACCAGGAGCAGGAATTTTTTTGAGGAAGTTCTCGACACATGGAGCCGAGTAGAAGGTGAGAAATCAGAGCTGCAGGACACACAGCTTTACTCAGGGCAGATGTGGGCTCACAGCAGGAGTGCGGCCCAGACTCCCCAGCAGGGCCCTGGGACTCTCCAGGCCCATCACGGGGGCAGCACAGCTACTGACCGACAGGGAAATCAACCCCAGGAGCGGCTCCCTGCTTTCAGGGCACAGAGCAGCCAGACGAAGGGTGCGTCTGATGAGAACGCTCTGGCTGCGGGCACTGAGCCCAGACGCACAGCAGAAGGCAGCGCACTTTGGACCTCTGCGGTTAGGGTGACCACACACTCGCTGTCCAAACAGAAAGCTCCTGGCTGGGACCAACGTTAGACTAAACGGGAGAGCAGGGATAGAGGTGCCGTGGCAGAGGACCTCAGGCAAACGGGGACATGCACTCAGCCCTATCCGTGTTGGGCGTGGATGGTTTTCCTCAAGGTGACTCTTGGAAAACCCCTCTCAGTGTAAAGCAACTTGAGCGACTTAAACTTGTCTGCCAGCCGCCAGGTCAAAGTGGAGTGCTTCCTATGAATTCTGTGCATCAGAAAACACTATCAACAGAGGAAAAAGGCAGCCCACAGAATGGGAAAATATACGGCTACTACGAAAAAAACAGGAAATAACAAATGTTGGAGAAATGTAGAACCCTTGTGCATATTGCTGGGCACGTAAAATGCCACAGTCACTGGAAAACGCTATGGTGGCTCCTCAAAACTTAAAAATAGATGGGGCTGGCCCCGTGGCCGAGTGGTTAAGTTCACGAGCTCTGCTGCAGGCGGCCCAGTGTTTCGTTGGTTCGAATCCTGGGTGTGGACATGGCACTGCTCATCAAACCATGCTGAGGCAGCGTCCCACATGCCACAACTAGAAGGACCCACAACGAAGAATATACAACTATGTACCTTGGGGCTTTGGGGAGAAAAAGGAAACAAAGAAAGTCTTAAAAAAAAAAAAAAAAAGCTTAAAAATAGAATTACCATGTGATCCAGCAATTCTGCTTCTGGGCATATACTCAACAGAATTGAAAGCAGGGACCTGAAGAGACATTCACACGCCTACACTTACAGCAGCATTATTCACAACAGCTAAAACACAGCAGTAACCCAGGCGTCCACTGACTGACGAATGACAAGCAAAAGGTGGTATCTACGTACAATGGGACGTTATTCAGCCTTAAAAAGGAAGGAGACTCTGACATATTCTACCACATGTGAACGAACCGCGAGGACATCGTGCTAAGTAAAATAAGGCAGATGCAAAGAGACGTACTGTATGACTGCACTTAGATGAAGTCCTCAGAGCAATCAAAAGCAGAGACAAAGCAGAATGGTGGCTGGGCTGAGGAAGGGGACACTGGGAGTTAGGGTTTAATGGGGACAGAGGCTCAGTTTTGCAGGATAAGTGTTCTGGAGACGGATGGTGGTGATGGTTACACAACAGTATGAATCTATTTAATACCACTGGCCTGTACACTTAAAAATGTTCAAGCTAGGGGCCAGCCTGCTGGCATAGTGGTTAAGTTTGTCCATTCCGTTTTGGTGGCCTGGGGTTTGCAGGCTTGGATCTTGGAGGTGGACCTATGCACCGCTCATCAAGCCAAGCTGTGGCAGCGTCCCACATACAAAATAGAGGAAGATTGGCACAGATGTTAGCTCAGGGCCAATCTTACTCACCAAGGGAAAAAAAAGGTTAAGATAATAAATTTCATGATATATTTATTTTACCACAAAAGAAAATACTGGAAAAAAAAAATGAAGTGATGTCTGTCTAAATACATATCCCTACGCACTCACTTCTGGAGCTGTGTCCATCCCCTCCATAAAGGAAAGAGGAGTCAAACGGGGTCAGCAGTTGAATATATTCACATTAGCCATTAGTAATCATTCTCTCAAAAACTGAAATTGAAAAATCAAGAAACATCAGGTCATTGAGGAAACCAGTGTAAATAAAAAATAAATGCCAACATTTATGGGATACAGTAAAAGTGGTTCTAAGAGGGAAGTTTATAGCAATTCAGGCCTACCTCAACAAACAAGAAAAATCTCAAATAAACAATCTAACAGTGCACCTAAAGGAACTGGAAAAATAAGAACAAACAAAGGCCAGAATCAGTGGAAGGAAGGAAATGATAAAAATCAGAGCAGAAATAAATGTAATAGAGACTAAAAAAAAACCCAGAAAAAAATCAATGAAACAAAGAGCTGGTTCTTTGAAAAGATACACAAAAGAGACAAACCTTTAGCTAGACCCACCAAGGAAAAAAGAGAAGGCTTGAATAAATAAAATCAGAGATGAAAAAGGAGAAATTACAATGGACACCTCAGATATACAAAAGATTATAAGAGAATACTATGAAAAGGTATACGCCAACAAATTGGATAACCTATAAGAAGTGATAAATTCTTCAAGCCATACAACCTTCCCAAACAGAATCAAGAAGAAACAGAGAATTTGAATAGCCCAATCACCAGGAAGGAGATGGAAACAGTAATCAAAAAGCTCCCAAAAAATAAAAGTCCAGGACCAGACAGCTTCCCTGGTGAATTCTACCAAACATTCAAAGAAGAGCTAATACTTATCCTTCTCAAACTCTCCCAAAAAATTGAAGAGGAGGGGAAGCTTCCTAACTCATTCTACGAGGCCAACATTACACTCATACCAAAACCAGACAAGGACAACACAAAAAAAGAAAATTACAGGCCAGTATCACTCATGAACACTGATGCAAATATCCTCAACAAGATACTAGCAAATCGAATACAACAATATATTAAAAAGTTCATACATCATGATCAAATGGGATTTATTTCAGGGATGCAGGGATGGCTCAACAGCTGCAGATCAATCAATGTGATACACCACATTAACAAAACAAAGAGTAAAAATCACATGATCACCTCAATAGATGCGGAGAAAGCATTTGACGAGATATAGCATCCATTTATAATAAAAACTCTGAATAAAATGAGTATAGAAGGAAAGTTCCTCAACATAATAAAGGCCATATATGACAAACCCACAGCAAATATCATTCTCAACGGAGAAAAACTGAAACCCATCCCTCTAAGAACAGGAACCAGACAAGGATGCCAACTGTCACCACTCTTATTTACCATAGTATTGGAAGTCCTAGCCAGAGCAATCAGGCAGGAAAAAGAAATAAAAGGGGTGCAAATTGGAAAGGAAGAAGTAAAACTGTCACTATTTGCAGATGACATGATTTTATACATAGAAAACCCTAAAGAATTCACCAAAAAACTTTTAGAAATAATAAATGAATACAGTAAACTTGCAGGGTACAAAATCAACATAAAAAAATCAGTTGTGTTTCTCTACACTAACAACGAATTAGCAGAGAGAGAAACTAAGAATACAAACCCAATTATAATTGGAACAAAAAGAATAAAATACCTAGGAATAAATTTAACCAAAGAGGTGAAAGATCTGTACACTGAAAACTATAAAACATTGTTGAAAGAAACTGAAGAAGACACATAGAAAGACATTCTATGCTCTTGGATAGGAAGAATTAACATAGTTAAAATGTCCAGACTCCCTAAAGCAATCTACAGATTCAATGCAATCCCCATCCAATGACATTTTTCACAGAAATAGAATAAAGAATCCTAAAATTTATATGGCACAACAAAAGACCCCAAATAGCCAAAGGAATCCTGAGAAAAAAGAACAAAGATGGAGGTATCATGCTCCCTGATTTAAAAATATACTACAAAGTTATAGTAAATTGAAACAGCACGGTACTGGCACAAAAGCAGACACACAGATCAACGGAACAGAACGGAGAGCCCAGAAATCAACCCAGACACCTATGGACAGCTAATTTTTGACAAAGGAGCCAAGAGCATATAATGGAGAAAGGAAAGTCTCTTCAATAAATGGTGTTGGGAAAACTGGAGAGTCATGTGCAAAAGAACGAAAGTATCTTACACCATACACAAAAATCA